TGGAGTATGGACAATATGATCTGTACACAGACGCTGGTCAGACATCAGGGGAGCGTGGCTTGTCTGGCAGTCTCCAGGGGTAGGATATTCTCTGGGGCCGTCGACAGTACTGTCAAGGTAAGTTTGTGCAGCCACTTAAATATAGGTTAGGATTATTAAGATTAGCTCACTAATGAGACCTATGCACGTAATAATCTGATCTCTGCTTCCACTTTTCTAGAATTAAAAGCACGATGTATCATTGACCCCTAGAGAATAGTCTAACATTTTGTTTCTCACTTGTATTTGTAACGCTCAATAAAGGGCCAGCTAGTGCTGAGGTAATACCTATACACTCGTTGGTAAGGTGGGAAAAAACGTAAAAGTGCCCTTAGTGTGTGGGGGTAAAAGCGTTCAAGTCAATGGGACCCTATTGGCTTTCCAGCCCAAACACTAGGACCGTATTGGCTCTCTAACACCAAACACTAGGACCTTATTGGCTCTCTAACACCAAACACTAGGACCTTATTGGCTCTCTAACACCAAATACTAGGACCTTATTGGCTCTCTAACACCAAACACTTGGACCTTATTGGCTCTCTAACACCAAACACTAGGACCTTATTGGCTCTCTAACACCAAACACTTGGACCTTATTGGCTCTCTAAAACCAAACACTTGGACCTTATTGGCTCTCTAACATCAAACACTTGGACCTTATTGGCTCTCTAACACCAAACACTAGGAGCTTATTGGCTCTCTAACACCAAACACTAGGAGCTTATTGGCTCTCTAACACCAAACACTTGGACCTTATTGGCCCTCTAACACCAAACACTTGGACCTTATTGGCTCTCTAACACCACACACTAGGACTGAATCTATTCAGTTCCCTTCATTTTGTTTCTCACTTGTATTTGTAACGCTCAATAAAGGGCCTGCTAGTGCTGAGGTAATACCTATACACTCGTTGGTAAGGGGGGAAAAAACGTAAAAGTGCCTTTAGTGTGTGGGGTAAAAGCGTTCAAGTCAATAGGACCCTATTGGCTTTCCAGCCCAAACACTAGGACCGTATTGGCTCTCTAACACCAAACACTAGGACCGTATTGGCTCTCTAACACCAAACACTAGGACCTTATTGGCTCTCTAACACCAAACACTAGGACCTTATTGGCTCTCTAACACTAAATACTAGGACCTTATTGGCTCTCTAACACCAAACACTTGGACCTTATTGGCTCTCTAACACCAAACACTAGGACCTTATTGGCTCTCTAACACCACACACTAGGACTGAATAGATTCAGTTCCCTTCCTCAGCTGTTAGTTTATGAAAAAAATCTAACAAGATTGAGACTGATGTTCCTCCGAGTCTGATGTGGGTATCTCAGTCTGCTGTGACCATCCCGTAAATTGCTTTACATTCGTAATATGTCCCTTATCTTCCTTATCAAAGAAAGAGACCTATGTCAAAAAGTACCGCACAATCACTCCCTCACAAGTACCTCAGCAAACTGTATCAGTATCATTGACTAAGGAAGCTACTTGTTGACTAAGGAAGCTATTTGGCTTAGAAAGCTACTCATTGACTAAGGTAGCTACTTGACTAAGGAAGCTATTTGACTTAGAAAGCTACTCATTGACTAAGGTAGCTACTCGTTGACTAAGGAAGCTACTTGTTGACTAAGGAAGCTATTTAACTTAGAAAGCTACTCATTGACTAAGGTAGCTACTCGTTGACTAAGGAAGCTACTCGTTGACTAAGGAAGCTACTCATTGACTAAGGAAGCTACTCATTGACTAATGTAGCTACTCATTGACTAAGGAAGCTACTTGTTGACTAAGGAAGCTACTCGTTGACTAAGGAAGCTACTCGTTGACTAAGGAAGCTACTCATTGACTAAGGTAGCTACTCATTGACTAAGGAAGCTACTTGTTGACTAAGGAAGCTATTTGACTTAGAAAGTTACTCATTGACTAAGGTAGCTACTCATTTATTAAGGAAGCTACTCATTGACTAAGGAAGCTACTCATTGACTGAGGTAGCTACTCATTGACTAAGGTAGCTACTCGTTGACTAAGCAACGTGAAAATGATACAAGACGTCTGCGTATAGTCACTCAATGAACTTCTCTATTTGTTGTCCCTGTTTTCAATTGTTGAATGTTGTTTTTAATTGAAAAAAATATTGTTATAACAAATTTCCACTAAGGATAAATAAGCAGTCTTAGTCTCTAGTCTTATAGTCTCAGTCTAAAATGAACACTATGCACATTTTCCCCACGGAGTACAAAAAAACCAACCCTGGATAGAGATAGCCTGTCAATGGTCAAAATGTTCTTGCTCACGCGACGTACAGCTCGAAATGAAATCTCACTAAAGGTTTGGATTAGATCATATTCCATTTACAGGCCAATCAGACACACACAAAATAGGTCGTCAATCATTATTAAAGAAAAAACCGCTGTGCTATTTTCTTAGCATTGTTATAATAGGAAGATTGCGTGATTAGTTTCTCTGACATTTTTATCTAGGACTCAGAACTATAAATAGCTGGCTTGCTGTATCGGAATGTAGGTAGTGTTGATAACCTATGCATTTGAAAAGGTGAAAAATAATAATAAAAATGATTTTAATTTTTGGCATTTAGTCTTGCTGAATTCAACTTCTAAGTTCTTAAATTTGTGAGCTAACATAATAATGTGGGGAAGTGTTAGAGGTTAACTCTTTGACAGTAGCGTAACTAAAAACATATTTAAAAAGAAATGGGCTACTAACTATTAGGGTGGGACAATGGGGGGGGGGGGGGGGGGAGAATTTGAAGATCCTCACTAGATGAATGGGATTATAAAGTACGTCAGGACGTCTAACTTCGCAGATATAAGGAACGAATTTATGTAAAAATGCTTTTGAAAGACACATTTGAAGCTTAGATTTATTAAATAATGAAATCAGTAAGCTATATTTTGTAATTTTCATGTGTCAAAGTAAAAAACTATATGTGCAAAGTGAAGTATAAGATACTAATACTTTCATAAAGTTGGGCAACTTTTTTTTATTTTTTGAGGGTCTTAAGTTTGTTTTAGGGCTACTATACATACCTTACAGTTCCAGTTAGTACCCAAGGAACCATTTCTGCTAAGTTTTATCAAGATTGGTCAAACGGTTTTGATTTCTATGCTGGACATACATACATACGCCTTACTTTGTACTTTATAGTATAGATTATGTACATTATCTCATGTCATGATGGAAATTTCAAGACACCTTGTTGATAAGTCATTTCACACAATCTGCTTGTGACCTAAATGCACTGACAGAATAAACAAAAGTTTAATAATTTACTATAACAAAATAGTATGGCAGACAGAGCTTTCCTTTGAAAACCAAAGTGAACATATTTGTCACAAGTGTAAAGAGGCGCCTCACTCTGCAAACTCTCATTTTTCATTGCCTTGAATCCGTCTGCATAGAGAAATAAATTCTTAGATTTAAACTCTCCATTTTATTCCATAGACTTTTTTTTTCATTTCAGGTGTGGCAATAAGAAGTCTGTCCAGAAACTAGACAGAAACTTCCAAGACAGTTGGCCAAGTGCTGAGCTGATTCCAAAGAACTACAAGGGAAATGATTGGTCAGCACTGTGTAGGGCTTCTAGAGTATCTGCTTTCCACATTTGGTAGCCTTAGGAACAATTGTTTGATTCATGTGGACTTTTTAGAGCAGGACTTTATGCTTCATATATAAACATTTCTTTATTTATCAATATATATTTATCAGTATGTCCTATATATTTCTATGAATGTATTTTTATGCCTGTTATATTTACACTCTGGTTAATTTTGTAAACCAAGCTAAGCAAACTGCAGTATATGAAAGTCCTCATTGAAGTATATAGTCAGTTTTATATGTATATATCTCATTTTTATATTGTGAATTTATTTTTCTGATACCTGTTGTTGGTGTATTTACTTGAATAGAAACCTGTTGAATATAATATTTGTTTATATTAAGTGTTGATATATATTTATATGAAGATATATATATTTTACATATTTAGAACTCTGTTATTCCATTGTTACTTGTTTTCTAGACTTGAAGCACTGACCTAAGAACTCTTTATAACTGTAATTTCCTCTTAATGTTCTTTCTTCTGTATGTTTACAGTTAACAGTTGGACATGGGGAATATAAGATGAGTGAAACAGATCATAGTGGCAGTGGAAATGTCTTGCTAGGACTCTATTGCATTTTAATGCAAATTGAAGGACACTCTTATGAAATCTGCAAGGAAACAATGGTTATGTGCTGGCCACATGAATCCTTGGGAAAATAGAGGTTCTTAAATGTCTCCAATAGAAACTTAAACTTCCTCTTCATAACCTTCATACTAATCCACTAGTTGAATTACTAGCATAGATTGTTCAGGTCATAAAGGTTTTGTGCTTCTCTCACAAAGTCCCTCTAGTATGTGTTCTACCCAGGGAACATAGAATGCCCAGGGAACATTGAATGCCCTGGGAATATGTATGGCCTCTTTTTTTTTCAGTAGGTCTCAAAATCTGAGATAGTGATGAGGTAATTGTCAGGTATGTCTCTTGAGTGTTATCTGTTCAGAGAGGTCTTAAAAACTCAGTCTGTTACTCTTGTGTCTGTATTGACGGAACTTGTTTTGTACATAGACTGCTTTTGGTCTGTTGTTTTTTTTTTTAAAGTATCAAAACTTAGAGAAATATCAAACTAGTAAGATGTCATAGTAGTCTATGTGAATGTTAGGGAACTAAATCATGATGAAACAAGTAGATTAACTGGGCAAGCATTGCACTATTGGAAGTTATTGGTTAAGGTTTGTATTATAGAAGAGCTGGGTCTCTGGCTAAGAATAGTGTTAGCTACCTACCTAAGGCCCAAGGTTGAAACTAAACACAACAAGATTATAAACATACTAGTCTGTGTGTACAAAATGGTCTGTGTACTGAACATCAATAAATAGTTGTTGTTTTTTAATTTAAGGATGCGAAAGAAGTGACTGACCATGTGACAGATTGAAGTCTGACCATGTGACAGATTGAAGTCTGTAGTATTTGTAGAAATATCGGTGTATTGTGTCTGTTACAACTATAACAAAAGAGTATTGAGAGTTTCAAAGTAGATGTAATGGCTAGTATATTTGAACTACAGTCATTTGAAGTGATGGTCACTAGTGCTATTAGATAAACATTCAAGTTCAAAGTTGTAGCAGGTCATCCATCACTGTGCTAAGTTCGTAGTGCAGACAATCTCATGAATACCAAGTGTTGTAAGCATTTGCTCTACAAGTTCAATGAATTAGGATTGAATGACTCCAATAGTTAGACCTGTGAGATTTTCTACACAAACATTTCTATCATTTATTGTTCTATTTACACATACTTATTTTATGATGAATGTTTTTATGTTGACTTGCTTGAGACTCTACTGACTCATTGTTATTGCTAATTTCTTTACAAATGTTGATCTCTTCTATGTTAACCCATGAGTTGTTTGCAAGGCATGCTGGGAAGTGAGCAGATAGAAGCTACTCCTCTTCACCACCTAATCATGTGACAAACATTTATGTACAACTCAATGATAAACATAGTATGTTTAATTGCGTTCATTGACATTTGTTTGTCTCAATGCCATTACACTAGCAGTAGTAGAATTACACAAGAGACCCTAGTGAGCATCACTGGTTTTGGGGGGGGGGGGGGGGGGGGGGGTGTGCATTGGAAATGTTTCTTGTCTGTTTTCATTTTGTATGTTCCAAAAATTGGGCATAAATAAGAAAACATGCATGGGCAGTTTTTAAATGTATTTTGTATGTAGGTCATGGTGTATATATTGATGAGAATTTCTGGCTTTTGAAAGCAAATGTCTAGGGCAGGTATTGAGAAGTGTATGGGCACCAGGACCATGAGATTAGTACAACTTGTGTTCATCGCTGCAGTAACCTCAGTTTCTTGTAGATTTCTTTAAAGCCAATTACTTTGACCTCTCCCTTAGTATATGATAGTTTCAGTGTCCAAGTGTGGGATTACAATGTCGGGTCTACAGTATCTCTCAGTAGTACAGTGTTGTAGCTTTCAATTAAGAGTTGATAAAAGGAAGTGGTGGAGTTTGATCAGCATAGCCTAGTTTAGGACATATTGTTTGATAAATTGATATGCTCCTTGACAAATGTGTTGAAACTTAAGCCCCCTATTACGTAACTTGTAGAAAGCATTTAAGTTAAAACTCGGTTTTCAAACATGATTTGTCTCGCGAGACTCCGTGAAGTTCTTAGCTGGCTATTTCTACGACTAAATTTGTGAACGATTACACAGGGGAGTGTACCGCGCTGTCTTTCTGCGTTCTCTTGGTTGGTTAAATGCTCATCAATTTAAGCTGACCGCCAGAACGTACGATTTGTTTCCTTCGGCCAGCCAGATGAATTCGTGGTGGTGAGACTCTCGGTTCTTGGTACTCTATTTCTCTAGTGTACATTTGGTGCTTTGTCCTACTTTGTTCCACTTCGAGTGCCTGGTTGATTTATGAGACGAACTTTTCTCCTAACTCATTCATTGCTAGCCTTGTGGATGTTACTTCCTGTATCACTACTGGCTGATAGCTCGCGCCAGGGAAGGAACATATCATGGGGTCTTACAAACATAGAAGCATCATTAGTCATCTCTAGTTAAGTTGATGTATTGGTGCATACAGGAGCTGAGACTGCTGCTTATTTATTGTGATTGAAGATAATTTGTTAGACATTTTTCTATTATTTTTTATACCTGACAGAGTAATGGCTTGTTTCCAGTTTAAACGCCTTGTCTTCAGAATTGGCCAGATTTTAGTCCAGTTCTGTTCAAATAAGTTTGGACCATTGAGAATTAGGTCTTTCATTTGGTGTTGTTTTTTTATATTATTTGTTCATTTTTACCTGCGTGTCAAAATATTTTCTCCAAATAAACATAAATAATGTTTTAAATTTGGTTAAAGATTCCCATCATCTTTGCCATCTCTTCGTAAACCCCCAACATGTTGACAGAGTAGAGCCTAAAGTGAAAGTATACTCCTGTTTTACAAGCTGTACTTACCAGAACTGCACTATTTTTTTGTTTCAAACACAATCCTGCAGCAATTATTTGGTGTGTGAAAGTGCATCGCCGGCTGTGTTCTCTTGGAGCTTCAACTGTGTCCAATAAAGAAGTGCTTCAAATCTCTTAAGAACAAGTCACATGACTAATGTTTTCCCGAGTTTATGATCTACTGCTGTCCCTGTACCCGGTGTGTGCCTAGAGGTTAGTTGCCGCTCTAAGAAATAAACTGTTTAGACCAACTCTTGACTTGCCTACTTTGTATGTTTAGCTGCTGGTTGAGGGGATGTTGGTGCAAGTATTGTTAAAAGTGTCCTGGTCACCAATGGTTTTGAGATGTACGTCCAGGGGAAATGTCTAGCCTTTACATCCATGAAACATATCGAGTTAGAACATAGATACCATATGAGTCATAAAGAAAATGTCCTACTAAATATAGAGAAACAACGAACATAAAGTAAAATATAAAAATACTTTAAAAAAAAAACAACTTGCTTCTAGTCAGTAAAATTTTAACAATTATTTTGAATAAATTATATGACGTGGCAACCAGCTATTGGTCTCCACTGCCCACAGGTTGCGACGTCGTAGGTCACTGTAGACCAGTGTTTCACAAACTTTTACCAGTGATGTTTCTCTCAACCATAGAATTTACATTCGCGATCCCCCTCCCCCCCCCCTCTTTATTTTTTTAATCCAGCGTGGGGAAAGTGAGGAGGGGGGGGGGGCGCTGTAAGTTCCCCAAGGCGGGGTCATAGTCCTCTAACGTTTCGCTTAAGATTTCCAAAAAAGTCATTCTCCAAACTGCTACAGCGCCGCACTATTTCTTCTAGCAATAAGTGTTATGCTACAGCCCCGCACTATTTCTTCTAGTAATAAAAGTATTATGCTACAGCCCCGCACTATTTCTTCTAGTAATAAAAGTATTATGCTACAGCCCCGCACTATTTCTTCTAGTAATAAAAGTGTTATGCTACAGCCCCGCACTATTTCTTCTAGCAATTAAAGTGCTATGCTATTTGAATTTTTTAAAATGTTAGGACGGGCCGATAATAACTTGACACTGTACTACGTTTGTAATGGGCTGTATCGTCCTAGGATCATTCAATGTTTAGCAAGACCTCTTCCACTCAAGATGTCAATAAAGCAATGGTACTTCAGTCGGGAGAAATTAGACCGCTGTGGTGCAAGAAGACTGGTATAATCGCAGGGGCGAAGACGCATTTAATTATTTTCTTCAAAATAATGTTTTGAATGGATCTTGTAGAGGCTGATCGCAAAAACAGCATGAAAGGTCTTGCTTAGTATAGGAAATGGCGTTACTTAAACTGATGAATTTCTCTGATCATTGGTAATATTGCCTATTTTTTACTTCATTAATACCGGTACTAAAATATGGTGTTATGACCCAAAAAAAAAAGCCCTAAGCGCCCCCACTTGCCGGCACAGCACTCCACAGTTTGAGAAACGCTGTAGAAGACTAACCGAAATATTCGGGGGCACTAGCAATGTCTGGTAAACAACGAAAGCTTCTAATGTCCCTAATAAAAAAAAAATAGCAATGCATATTAGATTAGTCTCCTGGGTCTACTGCATGTATAGTAAAAGGGTATAGACAAGGCACGTTTAAAAAGCGCAACCAATGAGCTTGCGTTGTGCAAGGCAATGAAAGTCTAAGTAACAGAAAGCCATGCTCTAGGAAGGTGGACTACATTTCAAAGTGTCTCTGAGAGTGACCTCTCTTGTAACGATCGTTTCTTCTTTATCCATAAACGTCATCGGGAACTTCCGGTGTTAGCAAAAACAAGCACTGGAAACTAATTTTACGAAATGATAGAAAATTGTTACACTCAGATCCCGTTTCTGCAGGCTATGGCAATTGTCTCCTAGTTCGGTCAGACAAGCATTAAGCAACAGACAAAAAACCAGCCAATCAATTGACATCCCACTTTACCACGTGATCTTATGGATCCAGTATTGATATAAAACCCGAAGTTAAGTGTATCTCGCCCGAAGGAGAAAAAAACATGGTCCCATTGTGTGGCTCAATACTTCAGTGTAGTTCTAATAGTTTTTTTAAATAGAAATTGAACTTTCTTTTGCCGTAATGGACCACAAATCAAATTCTATTTTTTGTTTGGAAAAATTCGACAAATAAATGTTTATGATTAATTTTGAATAAAACATTCTCGGCGTCTAGCGTAGATTTTCACACCTTTGGAACAAGAACAAGCGATCTACAAGTCTCGGTGTTGGCGGTCTGAAAGTGTCTTTAATAGCATGGAACTTTGAAAAAGTCAATATTAAAAAAAAAAAGGGTTATTTTATTCCAAGAAACAAATGACATTTTAAGTTGATGACTCGAACTGCTTTTAGCATACTAGCTATATTTATCACAGGAGGAAAAAAAAAACAATTTTGTCTTCCAGACTGGCAGGGCCTCTCAGGACTCTTGAAACTAGGATGGTTCTCACACACAGATATGGTACATTAGTTGTTTTTTCCTTTAGCATAACATGGCAGGCAGGGGAGCTACAAGAAAAGCCAGTAGGAAAAGGGGACGGAGTGAATTTTTTTTCTATATTTCAAGAAAAAACAACAGTAGATCAAATCTCGCTCAATTCTCATTGAGACTTTGGCCTTTTGAACATTTGCGTTCAGCCACTTCATTTTAATCTTTAGAAGCGTCTAGATTTGTTTTTTCTCAAACCTGTATTATGCCAAATAATAATTGCATTCATGAAACGAAAAAAGTAATTTCCAGTTGTCTGTTTGGTAGTAGATGCGTGTAGTTGGCAGCAAGATCTTACAAGGTGTCATGACCAATCAAACGGACGAGGAAATAGCGAGAGAATGAACGGCAGATTTCTGACACGTAGATTGATTGGGCGGGTTGCCTCGGCTAAAAGACACCGAGCATTAGAAGCTTTCCATCTTTTGTTCTGAGAGTTTAAAAAAAAAATCAGGAAGATTTAATTCAGTTGTCCTCCTTAAATATAGTCACGTGAGCTCGTCATTCTAGAATCTAGAAAGTATAATTAAATCCAATTCTGAAATGTAGGCTACACATCTCCCACAATACCTTCCCAGACCATTTCATAAACACACACACATACGCGGTTCATACACATACTAAATGTTCACGTTATTTGGTCTGATGAAGCCAATGGGGGGGGGGGGGAGACACACACAAAAAGTGTTGTTTTTTTTTTGGAAATGATTGTGAGGAAATTGCAAAATACTTTTAACCCTAATTTCTTATACCAATTACCTCCCTTTAGTAAAGGTTTGTACTTATTCAATATAATACCACATATTAAATAGTGAACAGTCCTTTTGAACAATCAAAATTGCTGTGAAGTAGCTCGTCAAGATCTAAACTTCAATATAAGAATGCAAAGATATTCACAACTAAATTCAAGCTTTAAAAACAAACAGTAAGAATGGAAGTTTGTCAAGAATTTTATTATCTCCAACACAACTAAAGAAGTCCCACAATTTGTTTGTATACAAAACAAGGTCATGAGATTTTCATGTCAACATTAATAACTAGTGTCTGATTAGATTGAAATAGCTCTGAGTTCAACCTCAGAATAAAATTAAGCCTACAAACCAAATAAACACTTTAAATCACATGACCTAATTGTAGCTCTAAGCCAATCACAGTAGATTGATAACTCACAATCAGAGAAAATCAGGCACAGTCAATCATGAGACTTAAATATCTAGAAGCAGTTTGTTCATTTTAAAATACAATTGAAAAACATCTACAAGTTGCTATATGTATCAGGGCTTCTCCACTAACAAGTGTTCTGGCTGTTACAATCATGTGATGTGTTTGACTAAATCCAATGTTTGTATCCTACTGGTTGATGTCCAATGAAACATAATTAAAGCCCAGCATGGAATATGAAACCCCCAATTTGTAAATCATGGCAATAGTCCACTGTATTAACTGTCCCATGAGAACATTACAAGCAAAAATTAAACAAAATAAAGTTTTGTTTCAAAGCCAGCAGCACACACTGAGAAGTCAAGACAAATTTGGTAAGGTATGGTTCACTAATGAAGAGTTTGGTAAGGTATGGTTCACTAATGAAGAGTTTGGTAAGGTATGGTTCACTAATGAAGAGTTTGGTAAGGTATGGTTCACTAATGAAGAGTTTGGTAAGGTATGGTTCACTAATGAAGAGTTTGGTAAGGTATGGTTCACTAATGAAGAGTTTGGTAAGGTATGGTTCACTAATGAAGAGTTTGGTAAGGTATGGTTCACTAATGAAGAGTTTGGTAAGGTATGGTTCACTAATGAAGTTACCAATTCAAAATAACCATCAAAAGTGTTTTTTTTTTATTTTTTAACTAGAATAAAGCATTAATTAGTTAAAACATTTTCAATTCTTTTAACAATTCAATAAATATTCTCTTTCTGTGTTGAAACTCATTTCTTGTTACAACTAGGGGGGATACTCTAGCCTATATAGAGTAATCTATCAATATTCAGCACAAAGGAACAATGCATTAAGTCATTCTAGAATGAAGTAAGCTCTTACATAAACAAAAAAGCTGGAATAAAGTATGTTATTTAAGAGGGGTAACTCCACTGTGAACAGGTGTACGGTATACTGCAAAATAGTATGGATTTCGCAGAAATTCAGTTTTATATACTTTATTTTTGTTTATGAAAAATAGTTTATAAAATTATAAAACTATACAAATGTCAGGAAATAAACAAAAAACAATCTGGACTCATAAAATATCAATCATTTGTCTAGTAGTAGATTTAAAGAAAGAAAAAAGTCCCAATATGTACAAGATTAAAAACAAACTTGGATGATGAAATAATTTATGATAGTTACAGTGGCAAATTGATCAACATTATGTTTTAAACCAACACAATCATTTTGTGTTTTTGTGAACTCTTCTCTCAGAAGGTCAAGTTATCAGCAATGTAGTTTTGCATGGCAACAAGAGGGTCAAGCAGGAATAACAAACAAACAAAAGTTGCTATTGATTTGGACTTAATACATAATAAACGGATATTCATCATCAAATTTTGATTAATCATGGAAAAAAATAAGTACAATTAATTAACCAGAACTATATTTCAGTCAGTAAAGAAAATCAATTAGCAGGAGTTTTATTTGAAATTAATCATTTACTTTTGGTGACTTCATTTCAAAGACAGAATGCAAAGTGTTCCAAAGTTTTGTTTCAATCATTCATATTTGCCACTTTGTCCAGCACTAACTTACTTGTACTGATACTTAGAAAAACTTGTTCAGTTAAAGGTCAAGTCTATTGCAAACTTTTGTGTTCCAAGAATGATGTTCAGTTATCTCCACTCTTCAGAAATTCTAGCATGTAGGTGAAGCAATGAACAGAATGCATAGAAGGCGACTTTTCAAACCAACAAATATTTGTCTAAATGTAGGACTCTTGTTAAAACAAGTCAACATTGAAATAGTTCAACATGTCAGAAACTTCATGTTCTAAAAATGGTAGAAACTAAAGCAGAAAGATTTGTTCTATACATTCAAAGCAAATCAGAAAGAAAAAAACTAAAGAGAATTTGTAATAGAAACGTACAACAGAATCTACTGACACAATGCATGTCATAAACTGTTGTAGACTTAGGGACTCAAAGCAATGTTATTACACTGTATTATAAATACACAAGTAAAACAGAAATACACTGCAAAATAAATTAAATATAGAGCATTGGGTATATCAATATTAGAACAGGCTGCATAGATTTACAAAGTGAATAGTGCATTTGCAAGAGATCTGGTTATAATCACCAATCATATTATAAATAAAAATAATGCACACATTTGACATGAATATGACAAAGGTTTCTCCACCTAAGGTCAGTTAATATAAAAACTTATATATAGAAGATACATAATGTTTAAAAAACAAATACAAATAAAATTGCTAAATAAATAAATGTGCTCCAATCAGAAGACAGTTATGTAAATGAGAGAAGACTTCTATTTTATCAGGTAGAGAAACATTTATTAGCTTCACTTAACATCATGTGTACTACATGTGCAATGTCACTAAATGGAGTCATACCTTGATAAAAAAAGGCTTTGTACTTGTTATGTTTTTTAACAGAATAATACTAAGTCAAGAAATTGTGATTGATAAATTAAATTTCAAAGGAAATTTTTTAAATTGAGTTCATTTGTAAAATAGTGTGCCATTTAACCTACTATTTTAGTCCTAAAACAAGAAAGATTGTTTTAAACTATTCATGAATAGCATTAATTTAGATTGATAAATGACATGTATAAAATATTTTTTTTTAATGTGTGTTATTCATTTATAAACATTTATTTGACAAAATTTTATTTTTAATGTCAAAGAAAGTTGCCTTTCCTTTGCCAATAATCATAATTTGGATATTGATATTAAATTAAAGTCAAATTAAGACTTAAACAGAATGACAGCTGTTTGAAAATCTTGACTTCAACAATGAAGATAAGATGATTTCCTTAGTAAGATGATGACCCAGATAAATCATTTCATTGTGCAGACATAATACTTAAATACCTGGTTCTATCACAGTCACAATTATATTATTATTTTAAAAATAATAATTTATGAAACAAATATAACATGAAGTGCATTTGGAATGTTGTGTTGTAATGATTTAGTTTATACAGAACAAAAAAATCTCAATGATGTCTGGCACAAAAGTTTGAAAAAACTCAATTGAGCTGGGAGATAGTGATTTGAACAAATAATGGAAAATGTATGCAGCTCTGTCAGTATATTAGTAGTTATTGAAACAAGTAGGAACAAAATCAGAGTAGAAAGGACAAAATAATTAAAAAAAATTATTTAATGAACCTTTAAAAATAGCCCACCAATGAAATCACAAAATGGCACATATTGACAGCCAATGGCAGTGAAGAGTGAAAGTTCAAGCTGGTCACATGGTCTGGTTACTTGGTCTCACTACTACTGGAACAGAAAATAGAACAACTTAGATTAGATATGTTCAAAAAGTAAGCAATTCATCTTTCTCTTATACTGCAAAGACATTCACAAAGTAAGCAATTCATTCAATTCAAAGGTAGTGAAAATTTAATAATTTAGTAAAAATCTTTTGTAAATATTATATGTTCACAATTTCACAAATCAAACCTTTGTAGACAACCCCAACTCCCAGACAAAGCCTAGTACCTTCCCAGGATCGACACTATCGAACAGTGTTTTTAAGCTGTGCGCTCTAAAAATTTTTCCCCTAATATCCTGGTATCAATGAGATGAAAGTCACAGTACTCACAAAGTGAGTGTGTGATGTAGATGTGGCCAATCTTAAGTCTAGACATGGTTGTGCTTCTACGCCTTGTCAGACCCTTAAATGCGGGCCGCCATCTGACATCCGCCACAATCTGTCTGAGTTTGTTGTGGGTCTCAGCTTCCCACCGATCCTGCCACTCTCGATAGGTGGCAGAGGCAATACTCTGTCTCTGGTCTGAGCAGGGAATTAGGGTTCCTGACACCGCTTGATTTAGGGCTCTCTTTGCTTCTCTGTCTGCGGTTTCATTTCCCTCTATGCCTACATAGGGGATCCATATGAAGGTGACATCCCTATGGTCAGCTGTTATTTGGTCCAAAAGCTTTAGGCTTTTATGTACCAGTGGAATGTCAGTCTTCATCCGACCCAAAGCTTGCAGTGCAGATTTGGAGTTGGAGCATATGATAAATTTTCTCCTTTCTGATGCTTTGATGGCCATAAGTGCAAGCGATATTGCATGTAATTCGGCCGTAAAGATGAAGCATCCATCAGATTTTTTTATTCCGAAAGGATCCATTTTGGATCCGTAGTGTAAATGGTGCCACAATCTCTGAAGCTCTCCTGCAGTTCCCTAAAGTGAGATTGTAGTATGCTTGGGTCTGTATTTTCTTTTTTGAAATTAAGGAGGGATAAATTTAATTTGTTTTTTTTTCATCAACCAAGGAGAGTTATGTGGGATTTCTATTTTAAAAATTTGGTCAATGGGTGAAGCTAAGTTTTGAATGGATTCTCTCATTCGAAGGCCCAACGGCTTGATTGTATAGTTCTACATCTGTAGGGTTAAATATGGAGTTGAAAGCAGAGTTCGTGGGGTTACAGTAGCACTAGCTTTTCTCAAACAGTGGCAATAGCTTCTATCAAACAGTAGCACTAGCTTCTCTATGAATGAGAATGATTGGAGAAAATGATCTAGTTTGGTAGTTGGAAAAGCAGGCCATGTTCATGATAATAAAAGTCTTCACTGGTCTATTAGTTCAACACAGTGTGCCCTAACTTGCCACTACCCACTGGAAGTCAACTGACAAGACATTAGATCACAGATACAAATGTGATGAGAAAACTGCCTGGTGGAGACTGAGTAATTGCTAAGACCAAAATGGCTCTATGAAGTCCTTACATCTGATTGACTACTTTGTCCCCTTCTTGTAATATGAAAGAAAATAATGTTTGTTTTCCCTGGAATGATTTCAACATAAAAAACTCAACCAAAGATACAGCATTGCTCACCCAACATTTGTCTTAGTCACTAAATCCGGCAATGCTACAGACACAGTGCCATTAGGCTGTGGTGAAGATGGTGATGTAGGTGAGGACGCAGCAGACTGACTGGCCAACTGGGCCTTCACCTCGCCAGCTGTTTTGCTCATTTCTAAAGGTGACAAGGACCTGGTGCTTTCTTGGCCACTGCCTGGGCTCTTTGGTGTCCCTTGGCCTGTCAGCAGGGCTTCTTCCTGGATCTGCATGTGATACTTATATGTGTCAGTTGTTGGTATAATTTTACCTAAAACAGACCAAAAAAGAAAAGATGAGATTAAACATGAGTTGAATTTCTTTAAGCTCATTACTATAACACATTTCTCTTTCCGTCTCAAATGAGTTCACTACAGAGTGTTTTTTTAAACCTTTTTTTTTTTACCTCTGAAGCAACTTTAAATGTCCATTTTTAATATTTCTTTTTAACCTTCCCCCCTCCTTTATATAAGTACCTGGTCAGTCATTAGAAACAGTTTTTCAAACATCTACATGAAGCACTGCCCTACATATGCTCCTAACCTTGAATCAAATATATGTATGTTATAATTATAATGATAACCACCA